TTGCTCCTTTAGAGGCTTTCATAACGGCTGTAGAGTCACTTTTGGTACATTAATGTTTGGCCATTATTCTATTGTTCTGGCGCACTATAATTCTGTTCTTGGTACACTGAGCAATTTCTGTTGAAGTCGAGTGGTGGCTGTCAACTGTGTAGAAGGTTTCTAAACTAGACGCCTTCGCACCGCGGAAATAATGAAGAAGAGATAAGAGATTCAGAGACAAAGAGCTTCTTTGGGACAGCTAATGAACAAGCTGTTCAGATAAAATATCTTATAATAAACTTGATAGTTATGTTATGTTATATACTGTCTTTGAATAATGTTGGTTGTTAGTATGGTCTTCCAGCCACTGAGTCTTTTCTAATACATAATATGACATGACATCAGTCAGTTTTTATATAAGCCTTGTGATAGCATACTATGTGTTGAAAATAAAGTTTCACTAAGCGGGTGGCCACATTGTGTCTATTAGTTCACTAAATAGTAGCTAACCAGACAAAAAGTGTAGCTATAGCAGAACAGTAAAGTTTGCTTGCATCAGCTGATTAGCATCAGTATGATGCTTTACAATCACTGTCTCCTTTCCCAGCTTCGTGGCTATGAGCCGACTGGCAACATTCAATCATATTCATGCAGGTGTACACTGTGGCCATTATAGCCTGACATGCTCATGTACTCATGCCAACAGCATTTGCTACATGTCTCCCTCCACCACCCCAACCTCCTCATTATGTGTCACCTTAAGATTCTGGTATTGTTCATTTAACTAAGGTTGAATTTGTCAAATCTAACTGTATAACTGTTAAGTTATCTGACTTGTGCTACATCATTTCAGTCATCATTTACTGCTGTAAAGGGCAGCAACATACTGAGACATTTTCAGCTTTAATATATATTGCATACTGTACGGATATATTGTCTGCCCCACCCATCTGTAAATTATTTTTTGATGTTAGGTTGGCTTAACTTCACTCAAGTCATCTTTGTTGCAGTCCTGATCAAGCCTCTGATCTATATTTTTCCTTTCATCATCATGATGGAAGTGTAGTGTAATTAGGGTTAGTCTTGTACCGAACCCCAGGCTGTAAGTGAGAAGGAAAGGGATTTGGTGACTTGGCACGGGACACTTTAATTGACTTGCTGCAGGACAGTGTCTGTATCCTACTCAGCTACTCACATATACACAGACATCCTCAGTAGAGCTGAACATAATGTACACAATGCTGTCAAACTACAGGAACACTTAATCTGAGTGTGAAAAAACTACTTTTTCCACTCCCCTAACATGTCGTGGTGCCCTCAGGCAAGATGCTTAACCCTGAACTGCAGTCAATAGGTGTTTAAGTGCTAAGCTGCTCTGAGATGTGTGTAACCCTTTAGGTTACAGCAGCTTCTGAAAACACAGATATGACCTGGTCAGGTTGCTCACTTAGGGCAGTGGTTCTCACCCTTTTTGGTTCAAGAACCACCAAATTGAAACACATCAGGCTGCAGACCCGAAATTTGATAAAATGTAATCATATCAGATTAGCAGATTAAAAGTAAATAGTGTGAAACATATAAACAGTATAGTCATTTTGATACAGTCTCTCAGTGGGACAACTTCTAATCAATTACATAATAGTAAAATTAACAATCTTCCACATTTTTCTGGAGACACCCTGGAATACACTCAAGGACCCCCCAGGGTCCCTGGACCCCTGACTCAGAGTAACATAACACCACCTGCAAGTCTTGTTTTTGCTAAACTCCAGTGCTTGAAGTTCTCCCTGTGCTGAAGGGATGTACTGCACTCAGGCTGTGGTACACTTTGATGTTACATGGTAATGATAATGGTGTTTTCATTATTGTGTCATGCATACAGATTTTCCTAGCCTATTTTCCCAGCTTACAAGAAATGAATAGAAACTAGATCCAGAAAGCAGTTCATACCTTTTAAATGTTACTACGACACAACATCTTCATGTCTACAACACAATTCAAGCATATGTAACACTTCCACATCCCATGCTCCCACCAAAGCATCTCTACATATGCAACAGTGCACAGATGTCAGAAGTCAACAGACTTAAATCTTGCCAGACAAGGTCATCATCTTTCCATCCTCATTTGAAGTTACCCTCCAGAGTTAAAGAGATAATAATTATTATATTCATTGTAAGTATTAATCTGTATTGATCACTTGGAAATAATACAATATACACCACAAACAATATGGTGTCATTCGGACATCCTCCTCTGAGAAAAGCATATATCATCAGCATATAGACTAATGTTATATTACACCCACTGATAATATAGTGGCAAAAAAAGATATGAATTTATTTAAAAAGTCACAGATTATTATTTTATTAGAGATAAAGGTCCAGTGTGTAAGCTTTAGGAGGATCTGTTGGCAGATATAGAATATATTATTCATAGGTATGTTTTCATTAGTGTATAATCCTGAAAATAAGAATCCTTGTGTTTTTGTTAACTTAGAATGAACCATTTTTATCTACAGACCAGCGGCAACCCATGGTGCCGTGTTGAACTGCCGTTTTTATACAGTAGCCCATATAGGACAATCCAAACACTGACTCTAGATGGGGCAGTTTGAATTTTTTTTTTTAAAGTGCGTGGTCACCATAGTTTTTCCTTCTCACTTAGAAGGGGAGGGTGAAGTGATAAAATTGCTGCAACTACATCTTTATAAGCAGTCATTAGTGGGAAATATAAAGTTGTAATTTCACAACAGGATTCCTGGGATCCAAAATACAGGGCCGAAGGGCAGCTCTGAAGAAGATTTCTTGCTAAAATGTCTTCAAAGTGATTTCATTTTATGTGCATCTTAAGCTCAGTCAGAACATTGGGACTTGGCAATTGTGTCAAATTATTCACAGATTCTTTCCATTACCAGGACTGATTATATACTGTAGCATGAAGCAGAGTGCCAGTGTTCAGATTCAGATACTCTGCTTGTCCTGTTTTGTCTCTGCTGCACACAAACACACTTTATACTTTCAATAAGCTCTCTTATGTCTTCTGTTCTTCCTCCTCTCATATACTGTATATGCAGGTCTCATTTTGTACCCTTTTGCTCTCCCTTACAAACACAGCCTGCATCTGTCCTTCCACTGCAGCTGAATCTACACTCCTCTCCAATCAAATCCTCTCCTTCCAACCATCCCTCACTTCATCTCCTATCGCTTCGTCACCTGCAGCACTTTCTCTGCTTCTTTATTCTGCTTGTACTCACCATTTATTCTCTGCGGTCCTGCTCTTGCCTGTTCCTCTGAGCCCATCCACACGCTGGCATGCTGTGACTTAGACCTCAGTCTGTGCTGGATTGTGGAAAAAAATAAATTTGTTAGAAATGAAAACCGCTCTTCCGAAGTTTATCTCTCGGAGGATATGGCCTGACCTGCATACTGCTCTTTTTTCCCTTCAGCTGGCTTTTTCAGCCAGAAACACTTAATGTGTCTACTATAGCACAGACAATTAATGAACAGTGTCTACTAATTTGTGAAGTATAGTTTTGTGCAGTTTATAATTAGGCTTTTTTGAGATCAATCCCAACTTGCCTGTAAAAGTAAATGAGAGAAGGCGGCTGCCGCCAATGGGGGGCCAGCAGCTGCAGTAAACCCTGACACAGTTTTTAGCAGCAGCACCGGTACATACAGAGAGTCACATAAACATAAATGCCATTGATAACACAAGAGAGCTATATCTTTAAAGTTTTAATTCACAAGATATTATAATCTGTGACACAGGGTTTTATGGTCTTGTACTAACATAAATATTAGCTTGTCCAACAGGCTAACCTCATCTGCACGTTAGCACTTGCCAAGGTCAAACATTTTAGCCTTTTATTGACTGACATGCTATAAGAAGCCATATTTAGGTCATTATTGTTATCGCTGCTTAAAGTCCTGAGAGCAAAAATGTTAAAATTGTAATGAAAGTGGGGTGATGGATCTCATTTCTAGGGACCTTACCGTCTTCCCATTGGCCACCAGATTCTCACATTTTGATAATTTAATACTAATCTTGTTGGTTTCTGAGATTTTACGGGGGTTTAATTCTGTTAACCAGGTACAGTAAGATTGCAGAGATAAAAGCTGATATGCTCCTCCTCAGACGTCAGACCCATGTTCTATTTACCCTATCAACAGTTATTTAAAGTACTAATCTGCAAGATCCTCATCCTCATTGATACACAGTAATCACTCTGGAGTTTTTGCACTGCACTCTGACAAATCCTTATCTGTTAATTTTTATTGTTGTCCACCAGGATTTAGTTGTTAGCAATGTAAACAGAATTGAATTTACAGAGTTACAGGATGTCTGAGCAGGAGCAATAAATACAAGGATGAGTAGGTGCAGTGTGTGTCATTTATTTACATTGTTAAGTGGAGAATTGTGCTTCATAACAGCCACATAACTCACTCATCCCACTCCATATAACACTTACACTCACATATATAACCGATAAAAAGAAGTGACTGTTTGAAACTTGTCTTATGGTTAGAGAAGAAACATGACACAGTTTTTAAATCACATTCTCCTCTGTCTCTCCTCTCCAGGGTCTCCTGTCCTCATCAGGTGAAGCACTGTGAGCCCCTCTCCTCCCTCCCTCCTCCCCTACAGAGGTCGCCCACTACTCCAAAATCCCTAAATCCCACCTGGCCTCACCTGCCACACCCCATCCGACAGCTGCCACTGGCCCTCCCTTTACCCCATGGTGGCCCCAAGGCCCGCCCTCTCACTGCTATTGGCTGTCCTGGCCTGCACGGGGCCCGCGCGCCCCTCGCCCCCCCTGCTGCTCCGGCCCCGGGAGAGAGAGAGGGACTCGGGTGGCGTCAACATCGCCGTGGTCCACTCGGGCTCCTCCCTGCTCCCGGAGACGGCGGTGGTGGGAGGCGCGGGGGTCGGCGAGCCGGGACCGGGGTCGGGGCTGGGAAACGGTCCGGGAGCAGGAGGAGGAGGAGGAGGAGGTGGAGGAGGAGGAGGAGGAGGAGGAAAGGGAGTAACGGATACAGCTCTGTTGGAGGGAGTGGCTGCGATGGCCTCGTTTTCCTCCTCCTCCTCGTCATCCCTGTCGCTGGCTGCGCTTGTGGGGGAGACGGTGATGACGCCATCGGGTCAGGCCAACGTCATCTACCTGGCTGTGAATGAGAGCAGCCCGGGCAGCCTGCTGCTGCAGCTGTGTGAGCTGCTGGCCACCACACCACTGCAGGTAGACATAATACAACATACACAACCCACATGGCACATACCTCCCCATGACCTGGTACACTCCTTTAAGTTCATTTATGTCTCTTACACTAATTGACACCTTCGGGTGTGTTTCCACAGACAGACCTGACTTAAGTTGAACAATGTCGGCATACAGTTTTTTTGTCCGATCTGTAAATCGTTGTCCATTTTCGCTGTGACAAACAGGGAAACCCTAATGATCTCACACAGTGGATCTGAATGTCATGTTTGCCTTTCATATTGAAGCAACACTACATGAGTTTGACTTGCATGCTAATGCTGCAGCAACTAGTGCACTGCATAAACAGCCCTTCCAGAAACAAACCAAATCTTCTTACATATTTAACATAAAATCTTTTTTTATTGAGCAAAAAAATCAGCTAAATCTATCTTTTGCTTGGCTAGAATTCTCAAAACTAGCCAAAAAACTAGCCACTGAAAGTCCGTACTGGGCCTTAAAACTCGAACAAATTTGCCGAACAAGGCAAGTTTTTCTTATTATAAGCAATGAAAACTTATTTAAGAAAGACTTTCTTTAAATAAGTATTTTGGTCACGTTATTAAGCTGAATTTAAGAATTTGTACCTTAATCTAAGTTTAATAATTAGCCAAAGAAATCTTACAATATGACACAAACAGCATAATAAAGAATTGTGATTTCGTCGGAAATGGAGGCAACAAAACATTCCTTGTTTTTAGCGTTTTTCTATTAAAACAATGAAAAACTAAACAGCTGCTTCATTTACAACAGAAGTTATGCATCTCAAAATAAGGAAAATAATCTTCCTTTGCTGGGATATTATGCAAACCATTGTTTTTAATTTGTTACTGGTTAACTCTAGCTGAGTATTAGCTGCAATATCTTATTAAGACAAAGTTAGATATATTTTCTTAAAATGTGATCACTTTTCGAATGCATTTTTAAACAAAAAAAATAAGACTAATTTCCCAAAAACAAGTCTTTTTTTACTTTCTTGAGATTTCACTTTTGCAGCGTGCACTGCCAAAACCTTTCAGGTAAAACGCAATTTAGAATTATTGTTCACCTCGTGTGAGTATACGTAGGCATAAATAGACATTGACAGAACACTAATCAGTGTGTGTTTCACCTTGCCACTTTGGTTTGAAGTGTGCTGACCCTTCAAAGATGAGAGACGTTTTCCAGCCAAGAAATGCATTTACTCTGTCAGACCGTTAACATGTTGTTGTTTCCAAGGCTGGCTTTTCTGTTCATTCATCTTCGTTTTAGAGAAATTACAAACTGTCCCTTCATTCATTCATGTTCATTGACATTGTGCAGTTTGTTCATCTTCTCACTCATGCACTCATTCATTCATAGTATAACACTTGTGGATGGGAGCAGATCTGAGCCCAGACTCTGAGAGCTGCTTGTGATCATACTGACAGAGGTAATAAAACACACTATTCTTGTTTCATTACTCATTCATATATTCATTCATTCAATCTTCTATGAAACATATACATTATTTATGTGTCAGTCTATCTCTGTGCCCAGCTGTCTATCTCTCTATTTGTTCATATCAGAACAGTGGAAAGGTCTTGTTAAACATCCTAGATCAAGTATGATATTAACTCTTTTAAGTAACACTTGCAATCTTATTTCCAGGTCCTGTCTGTAGCCTATTTGCATATCAAATGCTTCCCTGTGAGAATTGAGCTGTCAGCTACACTTAACTTCAATTTGCTCCACTGAATCGCTACAGGAAAACAAGCGTTAAGTCATCAAGCCAGCCTTAAATCACTATTGCTCCTCCTCGTATCATTACCAAAAGTAATGGCAATTGCCAGAACTTTATGCGTTTATACACAATTTATTACCCCTGCTGACAGTTCTTTCTTGAAAGGTAATCACAACAAAACCATGGTTACCAGAACAATCATACAAAATGCGGCTTGTTTGTAGAAGCACTTCAGCATGTTTCCAACAGCCACGCCTGTTAGTAAGCCCATGCAGGAGCTGAGGTGGCCCATAAGCCAGGGGCTTATCTGTTGTTTCTGTGGTGTAAAGCAGCTTAAGCTGTACAGCTACAACACACACTCTTCTCCTGACAGGATGTCAGTCCACTGCAGGGACTTAACTCTGATTTTATCTCTGTGAACGTTGATTGCCAATCAGAGCTGCACGACGGTCCAATTTTTAAAAGCTTCCAACAGTTGTTTAATTACTTCATTAAAACTCTAAAACTCTTTCGAAAAATTCAGTTCCTTCAGCAGCCGAGATATTTGTTAGCAGGGTGAGAAAATAAAGTCTACTGTATGGGCTGTTATCTCAAATACTGTGAACAGTGTGTGAATGTACACGTTGTTCTAATGTATTTTGCTCTCTTGTTCAGCCTTTAATTTATTCTCAGGGTGCATAAGAATAAAAGAAACGGCAGCTTTGATGAATAAAAGTATAATGAGAAGCTTATGAAATTGCATCTCAATGAGGCTGATGTAATGTCTTTTGTCTGTTGTGCTTTGTTTCATTGTGTAACCTGTTTTACTTCCAGGGTTTGGTGTTTGAGGAGGAGAGGCCGCCGCCGCCGAACCGTGCCCCTCTGGCCCCCATGCTGGAGTTCGTCTCTGCCCAGACGGGGGTTCCCGTGGTTGCTGTGGGGGGAGGGGCCAGCCTGGGACGAGAGCCACAGGTAAATTACTTAACGTTGCGTCATCAAGCCTTTTAATTTTCTTTGGACTAAAGCAAGGACTATCTGTGGCTTAGAGGATGAAACACAGACTGTAAGAAATAATGAGTCAAGTGTCTGAAGATTTAGCTCACTAACCTCCATTGACCTTTCTGAGGTGAAATTACTGGGATTTTTTTAATTAAGATTACGGATGAGGAATATTGTAGTATTAAAAAAAATGTGTACCTATCCTTAAGCTTAAAGGATCGTTTTAGTTATGGCTAATTTTACTAGCCATTAGGGGATATACTGTCATAAATTAGATGATTTATTATCCAAGTGGATAGAAACTCTTTCTTACGGGTCTGTTTCCTTATGAGAATTACGTTATTAACATGGCAATTGAATTTAAATTATAAATCATTAAATATTACTTTTTAAACAAGAAATCAAGGCTGGAATAATTCATTCATTCATTTATTTTTTGGCCACTTGGGGGCAGTGGAACAAACTGTAAACACATTAACATATAAGGACTTTATATAGTTGATATGACGACTTGTTAGCAAGCAGTAGCCTACATATATCATACACAGATCTAACAGATATGGAGCCACAGTACTTCTGTTGATTTGGCCACAGAAGTCCAATATTCACTCTTCTTGTAGCTCTGTTTCGGTCTCAATTAACCGCAGAGAGAAATGTCTTAAGGTGCTCCACTATGTGCACCTGCTACTCACTAACTTTGTCTGCTGTGGAACGGGGCAGGAAGCATACGGTGGTATTATTAAAGCTATTACTGACATGACATGAAATATGGTACTTACAGCTGAGGAAAACTGCAGTCAGGTGATAACTCTGTGAGTTTGTCACTGAGCGAACGCTTTCACATTACACACAGGCATTGATCCCCTGTCAATATAAATATATCAGTTAGAGCAGCTTTAAGACCAGAATGGGAGCTTTAGGTAAATGTGCCAGCAGTAGAAAACAAGCAAGTTATTCCGCACTGTTTTACTCACTTCTTTACACCACATTAGGTTCTCATCATAGCAAGAGCTGGTGCCGACTTGGAGCAAAGCTCCTTTTTCCATTACTCTTCACAAAAATGCACATTTCAGCTCCGGATATGACAAATACTTTAGGCCTGTGAGTAGTATTAATGTATAACAGTCGCTACCTGACACAGAAGACTATAACTCAAAGTTCTGGTACAGGAAAATGGAGCTGAGTGAAGAATCCATAATTTCTTTCAGACTCAAGTCCCTTGTAGGATCTACTTATTTTCGAAATGATAAACATTTCAGAAAACATGCTGCTCTGACCTCATCACTAAGCACTAATGAAGAAGAGGGAAATTCATTTTTTGTCAGAATTGCTCTAGTTCTGTCACTGCTGCTTAGCTCATCAGCATCAAATGTACTTCTCTTTAGCGAGCAGAGGATGTGCTGGACGTTTTCACTGGAGACTGTGTGAGTATTGCAGTAGAACAATGCAATCACACTACAGAGAAAAGGTGTATTAGCAATTGCAATCAATATATTTTTGCATTTCATCAACATTAATTTTCATGTGCTGAAAGACTTTCAGTGTCAAAATTCACACTTCAGTTAATCACGATGGCTGCTCTGTCACCTCGTTTTAAATGATGCTTGCCCATTGTTGCGGACTAATTAATGGTTATCAGCTCTCCAACTGGCTAATCTGTGTGTGACAAAAGGTAACGTTTTGCCGACAGGCATTAGTGATAAGTAGATCAAGCTAACAAAGCAATTTGGCATGACAGGTGTGATGTTTAATAAGTGGGCCAATTTGTTTTAAGTGGCTCATCTTGATGTTGTCATTGTGATTTCTACATTACTTTAACTTCAGCTATGGTAACAGCTGATGTGACACATTCAGCTTGGCACTGAGCTGTCATAGCATGTGAATGTTTGCTATTGGAAGCAGCTGCATTTATGGTGGGAGGTGAGTTTGCTTTGAAATAACACTACTTTTGCTCTTGTTAGACTCAGTAAATCCCCTTTGATTACATTTCAATCAGGAGACATTTTAAATGAACAAATATATTTGATTGAATAAAGATGAGAAATGTGAAAAGTCTTTGGAGATTAGACCTCATTGTGTATTTGAAGGTTTTGATGGAGCAGTGATTAGTAAACTCATCGATGGAGTCTAGACACTGGTGGTGGTGGTGATAAAGGGATGAAGAGAATGCTGAAGATCTGGATGTGATGAATGGATCCATCATCAGCAACCATTGACCTTCAGAGTCTATGCTGTAGTGATCGGGGTTGGCGCTGCGACATTGCTGAGTCAATAATAAGCAGGGCCCAGTTGTCAATCATGACTTGAAACCCAGTTTTTAGAGCCTCAAATAACTAATTTAAACCAAACTTATCAGAAAAATGAACACCAGCGTGTTAAGAACTACCTAAACTGTCTGAAACCATCTTTGATTTGTTTTGTATTTTGACATTTTAGTTTGGCCCATGTCCCATCTGTTAATATGGAGGCAGCGGGCTTTATGACCTACACTGCAGTCAGCCACCAGAGGGTAATCAGGATGTCTTGAGCTGTCATGTCGTCCATCTTTATAAATGTTGATGGTTGTAACAATTTCACACTGAATCAGAGCTGAAAGATTTAAAGTTTGACAGCAGCAGCATTATTAGCCCAATGAGATTGTAGCAAAGTCTGGTTGGTTTATTAGAAACACCCGTAGTCAGCTGATTAAGAAGAAGAGTGAGAGAGAGAATTGTGAAAGAATGAAGCATAAAGATACTCTTCCTGTTCTAGGTACAAAACTCAGATAACATAAGATGTCTGATCCACAGGTACTTTTTATTGAGTTAAAACCCAGAATGAGCTACTGCCCATTATCTACTTGCTAGCTTGACTAGAATTGCCTGGCTCAAAAGCTTCATTTGGTACAGTCAGATGGCTGAGGGGACTATTTTTGAATGGTCTTTTATGCTTTAAGGTTTTGGAAAGTCCTCTTTACAAATAGAGGTTACTTTGTATTAAGGGTTTGCAAAAAAAAAGTAATGTTTTTTTACACAGAGGACAAAAAGCTGTATTATGGTTCAATCAGACTGATGTTTGAAAGGATAGAAAGAGACAATTAACAGTTAAATAAGAATATATAAACCACCATTGGTCATTGGTAAAATAAATTGGAAGCTTAGCATCAAAAACTGCAAATTTAAATAGGAACAGGTTCCTGTTTCAGTGTCAAGTGCACAATAATGACTATAACAAGCTGTGATCCTTTAACAAAGCTATTCTTAACTTCAAAATAGAAAAAAAAGGTTGGCCTAGGGTTTGCAATATTGAACATACCAGCTGAACATACTCTGACAAACCACTGTTTAAAGCTTGTAAACCGAACCACTGAGTAAACTGCAGAGGGCCCCCTGTTAAAAATAAATAGATGAAAAGGTTCACAAAATTTGCATTGCAAGTGGTCATTTCTGCTCTTCCTGGGCAATACATTAAAAATCGAAGGGTATTAAAATGGTTACAATAGTATTCTTTATTATACGAAACTGAGGTATTAATAATTTAATTATTCTTCCTTTTGGGGCCAAAACTATTTAAACTATTGAAAATAATTATAACCAGAATTATAACCAGAATTATTATATAACAGGTGATTCCAAACTTTTGAATGGTAATGCACAGCATACAATTTTCCATTGAGTCTTGATGGCAGTTGTATTCTTTAAAGGCTGAGTGGTCCATATACAAACTTAGCTTAGTTCACTACTTAGTTTTAAAGACAGCTAGGTTAACTAGTAAATCATTTAGCGTGAGTAGATTTAGCTTATTTCTTATCTTTTCTTCTGTGTTTGAGTCAAATGTTTCTTAGCTGGAAATGCTATGGTTCTTTGACCCTGCCCACAGGGGGTTTCTGCATCTGAGAAATATTTTTATAACTCAACTCTAATCAGTTCTTAATGGCCTTTGGGACACTGAGTCATGCATGTGTTCTGATACACGCCAAGAATCAATCAAGCTTGTGCTTCTAAATCTGTGACTTGGGACACAACGTCAGTCATTCATTGTTTCTGGTGAGTGCTCACATGACAAGAGTGCAAGTAGAGTATTTTATTTTAGCTCCAGCTTCCAAGGGGACACAAAAATTTTGTTTTATGTTTGAGCCTACACCACACACCACCACCGCTCACTCCCAGCACGTTCCCTGTACACTTCACTCTGAGCTGGGTTAAGAAAAGCAGACAAGCTTACATCATAAAACAGGCTGATGCTGGTTTGATATTTGACCTAGTTCAGTGCTGCATAACCTGAGGTGAGCCCTGTCGACGTGGGAAGGCAGCGTGATACTCCCTGAAGTTTCCTCTTGATCATTAATTTAAACACATGCTCACTGCCTCTTTGTTTTATGTTCAAAAGGAGCTCAATGATTAACTGTTAACACTGCTGAAAACTTTGGACAATGTCAAAAAAAGTGCATAGTCATGATAAGTCCTTTGCATTATTTCAGTGTTTAAGCTGACATTCATTCCAACTCTCTTAACCTATGTGAAATATTCCAACCGTTCCTTTGTTGTAGTGTTAAGACAAATACAATAGAAGAAAAGCCAAAAGAAATGAATTCCTCTTTCAACCAGTGAGCGCCTCATCTATCCAGATTAAATGTGACTGGAGCAGCAGAGAGGAAGGCGATCATTGTTTCTTTCATTGACACTGAAAGCCTCATTCAGAAGCCAAGGACTTTTTTGACAGACAGACTTTGTGTGTTTCCCTCTGAAGTCAGTCCACCACCAGGAAAAGAAAAGAGCTGAACTGGATGAGAAGTAGCTTAAACTGTGTGGATACACTCACACTGGGAGACTTACAGTATAGATCAGACTGGCATCACCATCATCATCATCATCATCATCATCATCATCGCTTTCACATAACGAGAGAAACAGGAAAAGGCTGAAAAGCTGTTGTGCAGGTTGTAAAATCAATAAACATATTATCCAGGCTCCCAATACAATAAATATGAATTAGCTTCTGTCATTTAAATTATAATGAATTAGAAAGTTGAAACATTAATAACCAAGGCTTCCACACTGGGATTTGAGGAAAATAAGAAACATGAATATTCACAGTTAGTGTGGCAAATAGCTAAATGATGGTGACATTTACAATAGCCAGCTTGAATGAGGGGCTTCTGGAAACTTTGGAAACTTGCGATCCAAACGTATGTCAAATTGCATTACCATCTATTGTAAAAGGGGTGCAGCCATGTCAGACCAATGTCTATGCATGCACATTACACACATTTGTGACATAAGCAGTGTTTAATTTACAGTTATAACCAGTGAAGGAAAGTTGTTCAAGACAGAAAGCTTGTGATCAGCATGGTGTATGAAACAGATAAGAATATTTCATTTTCAGATAAGAATATTTGGTGTTTGTAGCAGCTCTGTTATTGTAGCTACAGAGTTGTGTAGTTGTGATGCCAAGTCGAGGGTATATTTTATATGTGGTGTGACATATCCTGTTTAAGTACACGGGTGAATGAGATAATTTATGTGTCCATAACTGTGAAACTGTTTATTTTTGATCCTATTATTATGGCCTTGACACAGATGAGTTAAGGTGAAAGCTGTGTGTTGGTTTCTTTATCACTCTATATTATTCCCCCAGGTTAAGGGCTCACAGATGCTCAGTGCCTGACTTTCACGGAGACTGGAGTTTGCATCCTGTCCCAGAATGAATGTTTGCTTCTTTTACTAACCTTCAAGGAAAACTGTGGTTTATTACAACTTCAGCATTTTTTATAGCTTCTGCTGTTGCTTATAGTGACTTTAAACTCACCAAAGCAAATGCTCAAATCTCAGAATGGCTAAAAAAAAGGTCCAGCAGAGCAAAAAGATTGAGCAGTCAGAACTGATAACAGTAATTTGTTTTCAGCTTTACTTGTCGTTTATCCTTCTCCATATTTTATTTGACTGTAACATACATTCTGGAGCAATACCAATGCCCCAATGTTCTCATGGGTTCATGTTGCCTCTCCTTGCTTTCAGGAAAGTGGCTCCATCTACCTCCAGTTCACCTGCGCCACTTCGCTCCAGCTCGAGGTCATCTTCGAGGTGCTTGAAGAGTACGACTGGACCTCCTTCTCTGTGGTGACCACTCGTCACCACGGCTACGAGGACTTCCTGGCCATGGTGGAGGGAATGACGGACGGTTCATTCATTGGCTGGGAAAAGAAGAGCGTGGTGATTCTTAACGTGACAGATGACCCTGGCGGGGCCCGAACCAAACGGATGCTCAAAGACAACGAAGCCCAGGTGAGCCAGGGAAACACGAACGTCAATGTTGATTGTTTTCTTGATTCATTGCTGTTTCCTGCTGGAGACTAATGTCAGAGGGTAAAAGTAATTTCTCTTATATCAAGTCTTACAATTTATTATATCAGTATTTCCACAACACCTGTCTCTCATCGTGATGAGCGATCTACCTTGAAAAGACTTCTTCTGTAGCCTGAGGCTCTGGTAACCGACATCTTTAAACGCTCCACAGTCCTTGAAGAGGCAGATGGTGAATGCAGCCAGTCTTCAGTTTAAAAAAGATTCCCTCCATTTTTACAGTGACTTCCTGCTTTCGCCTGCTTGCTTCACCTTGAAAGTCGCAACTTGTTCACTGATGGCTGTGCCCACAGAAAGAGGAAATGTTACTCTAAAAGTGCAAGGTCCTGAACATCTTTTAAAAATCCACTGTAGTTAGTCGGCAGGGTCACAGGGTCATGATACTCTGGTAGCATAATACCTACAAAAAGAAAAAAAAAAAACGTGTGAGAGACTGTAAGATTCAAACGATTATGTTCACCAAATAGATATATCATTTTTTTTTAAAATAGCCATAAGCAAGCAGGTTCATTGAATACATGCATTATTATATAACATTGAGAGTTGTTAAAAGAAAAGTAAAGAAACAAGTAAAATCACATAGAAGAAATAGAAAACAAAATACTGAAATGACAAAAATCTGCACATTTTTCATTCAGAAATCAAAGCTAAGGTGATTTTTACAAATACAATAAAAACCGCTAAGTGAGTATTTTGTCAGTGTTTTGGTGTTGCGGGATAAAAATTCAAAGAATAAAGATGATTTAATATCTAAACTGACCAGTCTTGACATAAGCAAGTACGTTTTTCAGCTCTTCAATGTGCTGTAGCTGACTGGCCTTTTATTATCCTGCAAGCTGACGTTAGCGGTGCACTTTTGTTTGGTAGCTCGCCAAGTTGCACCGTGTGTCTATGTTTGTAGATAGGAAGGGAAGCTAATGTGGGTTGAGGTATGAGGCCATTTTTGCATTGTGTTGTTTGGCTGTAAGTTATTGTTACCGTCAGCCACTAAAAGAAAAGTGACAGTTAATCCAGTTTAAAAAGAAGTCATTTGATTGGCTGCATGCAAATAAACAGCGACATCCTGATACACAGAAAGGGGAAACCACCAAAAACAATATACTTCCTTTTGAGTTTTCCTCTCTATGCTGTAGCAGGAAACAGCTCTAAAAATCCAATACCAGGTTAATCGACTTTGTCAGATCAATATATTTGCAGTGCTCTCTTTGCACTTACAGTTATGACATTATAAGTTACTTCTTCAGGCGTTTTTAACCAGAGGAAAGGTTTTGAGGAAAGCTCACCATTTAAAATTGGCCCCTCGCTTGCAGTTATGTAGGGGCGGTTGACTGAGGACACACTATTCATTTACACTGACATCCTGGGGGACCACTTGCACCCACACCCACACACACTATCGCACACACCTGGGAGCTTTGTAGTGTGACTGAAGTGTTAACTGTTGCAGCTCTGAGCTAAGCTGCTCCCCTGAAAGATTGAGCGTTCAGGACTTTCTCCACTTGTGTGAGGGTTTTAAGTGCAGACTTGCAAGCAAAGAAAAAGTCTTTGACAGTGTCACAAAGCTACAGACTTCATTTCCACAAATCTCACAGCATGACTTTGCTTAGCTTAGCTTAGTGTTTGTCAAACTAAAACAAAATATGTAACATAAAAATATGTAATGTGGGTGAGTTTAGAGCTTGTGTGCATGAGTCGTCTTCTTTAGGACATTTCTTCGGACGTCCTCCCACCTGTTATAATTACTAGTTTTTCCAAAATTCTTTGTGAATGACAATATGTTTTCTTTTCGTAATTTAAACAGCCTCTAGCAATATGAACTGATTTGACCTAAGTGTAGCATTTAGTATGCGAACAAAAGCAAAATCTACAATATAAAAAATGAAAATGCGAAAAAATGTGCTCCAGTCGTTTTCGGGTTAAGCTAGTGCACATTTCTTCAGTGAACAAGTCCCCCCCACCTGAAAAAACAACTGCCATTATAAAATATTGTACCGCTTTTTTTTTTACCAGAATATAGTTCAAAGTTTTCCAATGAAGTAATTAAAGACCAGTGAATCTTGTTCCTTCCGATCATCAGGTAGGTTGAGATAATCATTAAAAAGATAATTAAATTTCGACTACTGCCAACATCACGTCCCTTCCCTCTATGAATATCACACATCCTATAAACAGAAACATACAGTTTGAATAAATACCACAAAATCAGCTCAGCTTTTCTGAGTTGTCACCGTCAGTTTTCACAAAGTGACCAATCAGGTTTGAAGGTTACTGGTGTCATTGTTTAGATTGGAAGGAATGCAAGAAAAACAGAAATGACCACAAGCGAGATAGAAAGACAGCTCTTTTTGCGAGCACATTCTGGTTGGTTTTAGTGTGAAGAGTTTTATATTCCCCTGCGTCCCTGCAGTAGCATACTGCTGCTGCACAACCCCCTTCCCACTTAAAGACCCTGCATGGATACTCCTCACTTCTGTTTCAGCAGACAGTATTTTCAGTTTTTCACTGCCTTTAGATGAAGACGTATTCACCCCTAATAAATTATTTTTAGCAAAATATTCTAAAGCTCCGGGGTCTTGGTGAGCAGCCTAAAAAATGTAGCTTTAAAATTAGATAGACTTCAGAAATAATACTGTACAGTGACCCATTGAGAACAAACTTTTTTCTTTAACCTTTAACAACATAAAATGTTAGAAACTCTTTTTCTGCAAACAACATAGTCTAGAAAAAAGAGGCAGTAAAGGGAGAATGGGCATTATCTGAGCTGTACAAAACTGTGGTCTAACACATCTTATAGAGCAGAGGGAGTTTCTGGGTATCCACCCTCTCCCCAACTGTCATCTTTGTATGTGAGAATATCTCCTCCATCTCTCTGTTTCACACTGTACCCTTTTTATCCGTATTCATTCCTTGCTCTCATCATTTTACCATTGTCAGCGTAAATGACCTTTGTCAAAATGAAGTCCATGAAAGGGAGAAAGAGAAAAAAGAGGGGGAAAATGGACCAAAAGCAAAAGGGCCAGAGTGAACATGATGTAATGTAATGAAAGTGATATGAAACGTTGAATAGCGAGGGAGTGAATGAACTCTGCTGGGAGATGTGGAGATGTACGCAGTTACATGAGAAGATGAGTCTGTACAGGTGAAGGGTGTTTTAGGAGATAGGTTAATGCATTTCTTACTATACCAAAGTAATGGCATAAGTGATGGAAATGCTAGTCTGTCAGTCACTCCTCCGCTTCGGTCCAGACTTAAATAGCTCATTGACTGTAGACCCTGTTCACAGCAGACATTCTGCCTCGTCAAAGCGGGAAAAGCACAAGTGGAATTTATGACAGTAATGATAACTTCATTTAGGTGAGCCAGTCACAGGGCTCTGGGATATTTAAGTGGCACGCTGGTTGCTAACTGCTCACCTTCCGAGAGTGTAGGAGAAACTACGGTAGCTGCAAAAAACATGAAAGGCCATATCTAGAGCCACTTTTTCTCTCACTTTCTCACTTTCAACTCGTTGCTCAGTGGCCTTCCGCTTCAAAATATGACGCTGTAGGTGCCCCGCGCGTCCCGGAAAACCTGGATTTTTTTCCAATCATGGAAAGACCTGGAAATGTATTCAAATGTTCAGATATCCTGGAAATAATGCGTTCAGTTACACTTTCAAAATAATGCTTGCGTGGTTATTGTTGTGAAATGGTCGCAGTTGGGTTAGGATTTAGGCACAACTACTTGGTTACAATATAAGTTATGTCACGTAACCGATGTTGCTTAACGTAAGTTATGTAACGTACCTGATATAACTTAGTCTCCTCGGTTAAAACCCTGTTAACTGTACTTCCACCCTGCCACCTCCATACGCGTACTTTCTCACTCTTTATACTCTGACAGCGGGCATGCCCAGAAATGTAGGGATACCTACAGCGTCATATTTTGAAGTGGAGAGCCGCTGACCAAGCTGCAGTATTTGACGACTTTCAAACATTTCATTGTTTTCAAAAGTCCACCATATACTGGAATTTCAGGTGACTACTTTAAACTCCTTTGAAATGGAGGTGCTAAAACTCATTTGTCAGCTGAGAACTGCTGTGGCTGCTGATCTATTATTAAATGTCCCCCACTAAAATGTCCACTTCCACACCAACTGTAACAGGCAGTCATGCTCAGGACAAGTTTTTTGGACAGTCTGTCTTGTTTTTCACTGAAATGTTGCCCTCTGGGTATTGTGTTCCGAGGGGGTTCAGGGTCAGTGTCATCCATCTGAATTTGGTATTTTTAACAACAACTTATGAGCACATGTCCTTGAAAAAACTGCTTATTGTATCTGTATTCCTGCCTTAAGGACCAGTGTGCTTTGGAAGCAGCCTCAGTAAGTGTATGGATACGTCTCATTTGCCTTATTTCCTGTCTCCTTTCTCGATTCTTGGGTGGTCCAGAAATCAATCTCTGTGCTACCAGACCAAAGTACGTTCTATTACTTCTCTATCTACTTTGGAGGAGTGAAAAATCAATGGACCAGCATTGAGTGAGGAAAAATCAGACGATCCAATGCAAAAGTCTGTTATCATATCAACACAACCCCTTCTTGGTTGCTTGTGCTTTACTGCATCACCAGACGGTTTAACTTGAACGAATTTGCCTGTTTTTTGGTTTTTTGAAACAATTTTGATGTCAGCTATAGTTACAACATTCCCTTTTTTTCTTGAAACTTTTTTTTTCTGTAAAACATTTTGGCCATTAAATTAAAAACACATTAAGTAAAATTGAATCTAATTATAATGTCTTTATTATAATAATAATGAAGATAAATAACAATAAAGCACACTTACAATAAGTCTAAATACAAGTGTACTGTGCATCTGCAGACACTTGTCAGAATGTTTGTTCATTTTAAGGGACAACATGTACAGTCTAATATTTCACATTCTGAATTATCATGCAGGATACAATCAATAAGAATAACAGTGCTATTGTCTTTGCCTTGTCCTAATAAAAATAGGACAGGATATAACTTTTACTGTACAAATACACAACTAGCGTGACACCTGCCAAACTCCTGATTGTGACTGAAAAGCTTTAGAACAACTAAATAGACCTTTTTGTAAGAATATTTTGTCAAAATCAGTTTCCAAGGGAACAAAAGATGCAGTTAAACTGACAGGTGATCTTGCTCTGCCACCGTTACTGATGTTGCTTCAGATGGAGCTTGAGAGGAATGGCATCTCACACATCCCTGTTTCTTCCTTCCTTTCATCTTTTCCTTGTGTGTTTTTTTTCTTTGCATCTCTTGAGATGGTTTTAAGAGGGACACACTGATTTTATACCCAAAGTCTGTACAAGTATGAAAGAAAACCGCCACGCAAACATCTCAGATGTCACTTGCATCTCGGAGAAGAACTTTTCAGCCTTTAAATGGGAAGGACTAAACTTCAGTGAAAGACACTGAAGACAGATAAGATGCAGCCTGCTTTTTTGGGGTCCTGTTGAGCCCAATCGAAACCTAGAGTTGTTTTATATCCTAAACCAAGTTAATAGAAGCATTAGATTCTAGGTTGGGGTTGTGTTTGTTCTATGGGAGTGCAGGATCTGCTGGCAATAACCTCTATAGTGAATTGTCTGCCATTGTACTATAGATACTCCCTGTTTTTTCATTATTATATAGGGTTACTCGCACCTTGCCACTGTTCCATTTTAAAACGCTGCGAGCGGGGGTTGCATGCCAAATTCTGCATAATCCTCCAATGACACTGAGAAAAAACCAAAGGACACTGTCTCCTAAGTCTCCATCCTACTGTATCTACAGCAGCATTATGGTGCAGGTTTAGCAATGAATGGTATTTGTAAAATGGACAAGCCCTGCACTGTGAGCTAAAATTCCCTCCTCAAACACACACGCACACTCTTGATGTTGGAATCATTGATTAAAACTGGTTCAGCCTCATCTGCACTGTGATGTGAGTATAATTCAGACAGAGACAACTGTTTCCCACTGAGACTTTTCTTTACTGCTCTCCCTATCTCACCATCTCAGTTTCTCTCTCATCCTCTCTTTCTTCTGCCCCTGTTCTCCCTCTCTCCTCTCTCATCATACATTAACAGCCTGACAAGCGACGTCTGGATGCAAACTATCTGTATTTCATTTACAACTGAAATTAAAATTAGCCTTCCGTGCCCCCCAAAGAATTGCTTTGCCCCTTGCAAAACATAAATATGCCTGGCTGACCTGACTAATGCAAAATTATTAATCTTACGTTTCTTTTATGCATAATCTTGGAGGCGCTGGGGAGGCTGTAGTGCTGCATGGGCCATTTATTTTACTTCAAAGCTTGCCTCCTCCAATTAGCATACCGCAGGCATCAGCTGATGATTCGCATCTCGGTGCTGTAACTGGTAAGCAAGATAGCAGGCGTGGTGTTTTTCCTCTACTTGTCTGAATCACTGCAGTTTATCATTACAGGAGAACAAATACATGACAAATACAGGAACTACTTGTGTGATGCTATTTTGCTTTACTTTTTCATTCAGACTTTGATATTGAGGTGCAGTTTTAGTTAAAGCAACGGTAACAGATGTTTTGGCCACTTGGGGCAGCAGAACAAACCGTAAACCTTGATATAGTATTATTTTACAAAGTTGTTGTAGGGAATGTGTTAGCAAACTGTTGCCTGTTTACCAGCCTGCAGACACATTAGCATTCATTTAGAGTCGTGCTTCTGGCCACCTGGTGAATTTAACTCCAATATTCACTCTCCATATAGCTCTGGCTTGGATTCCACCGACTCCTGAGAAATATTCAGCTGTAACTGCTCACCAGATAGTTGCAAGCTTTGTCTGTCTCTCCTGTTTGGTAGTGGGCAGCAAGGCAGTGTACTGTGTGTGATTGCTTGCTGGTAAAAATGGAAATGTTCCATTGTGAAAACAAATTATCTACTTGTTGACGTATACGGTGTAAAATAATAAAAAGTGGCACAAATTAAAAGTGAATAAATAATTAAATCCTAGCTCTCTATTAGAAAATACAATTTTGTGTTTTTGAACATTCACCATTTTGGAAAGAAACTACTTTTATTTCCACCTGGATGTTGATGCGTTTAAGCTCTACCACGATATAAATGAAGACCCACAGGGATCTAAATTAAATGTTTTCTTCCAAAACGAGATGTCCAACATTTGAAAAATAAGATACCTGCACTAACCAAGTGATTGATGGCACCGCATTATAACAAATTACTCTTGTTTCTGAAGCATGGCAGACAGCAGGGAACTTAACTCCCACTTCCTAGGATGAGAGGAGGAGAACACTGACAGACTGGATCCTCTTTATTTCATACATATAGAGTGACAAACTTCAAGCTCAAGAGATGCAAACGCTAGTATGTAAAGAGGTCTAACCCTGACTGCTCACAGAATGTGGCTGACAGGGATTGAGCGTTAGCTTGGACCTCATGCCGACCCCGATTCCATCTGCTGTCGGCTGAGTGGGAGGGATCGGCGTCATCTCGCCGTCCTCTGTGACGCGACTAACAGCGGTGAATGTGCAGCATGTGACAGGATCCACACACCACACGCCTGCTGGTATCAGAGTGCGTTAGTAAAGTATTTCACGTTTTAGTTTTGACTAATTTCAGTTTTATAACCTCTGCAATTGTCTTACAAAACTGCGGTGCAAATTTTCCTCGAGTGCTTCCTCTGAGTAATCATCTGAAGTACCCTCAGCATCAACCACACACACTCGCGCGCACACGCACAGGGTCACACACTACAGCCTCTTTCCTTTTTCTCACCCTCTTCTAGCTTCATTTTTTTTACTCACTTTGTCTTTTTAATCTTGCCCCCCCATTCAATTCTCCCTCTTTAATAATGTATGAAGGGGAAATGCAAGCAGACCAAGAGGAACCATTTTTCAAGTGCAGCTCACTGGGTTAAAAAAATAAATAAAGAGAGGCATTAATGAATAAGTGCACCACGTGTTTTGATGTATAAATGAATATAATCCATAATTGTGAAGGAAACGTGAAAGAACATTATGGGACCAAGCAGCATGAACCAGGACAGATGAAAAATGGGATTGAAATTCCTTTTTGCCTCTTTTGTTCTCCACATCCATCCTTCCTTTGTTTTTCTGCAATTCTTTTTCATCCTTGCTCTATTTCTTCTTTGTGTTCTCTCCTCATCCTTCCTCCCTCTCTTCTTTCTTGTCTTTCTTGCTTTCTTATTCCTCCTTCTCCCCCCTTATTCTTGGCCTTATCTTTTCTGAAATAACTCCTCTCCTCTTTCTAATTTTGTCTTTTTCCTGCCTTCTTTCCTTTTCCTCTGCCCTTCCTCAATTCTAAATGTCCTCTCTTTCTTCCATCCGTCACTTTCTGTCCTTCATTTCCTATATCCTTCCTTTTCTAATTACCTTTCCCTCCAACCTCTCAATCATTTATTTATTTTCTCACTTATCCATCTATCTATTTCCCTTTTTCCTCCTTGTATCCTCTTCTCTCCCTCCTTCCTATTTTCCTCTTTCTTCCTTTTCTTCTAATTACTCCACCGCCTTCTATTCTTTTACTCTCTCCCTCTCCTCCTCCTCCAGGTCCGCCTGCTGTACTGCTCCCTGGAGGAGGCCGAGCTGGTTTTCCGGGCAGCCTGGGCGGCGGGTCAGGCCGGGCCCAGTCACATGTGGTTCGCCGTGGGACCTGCCCTGTCCGGCTTGGGCCTGGAGGGGCTGCCTAAGGCCTTATTCGCCATCCGGCCGCAGGGCTGGAGGGATGAGCCACGGAGGTACGATCTCAGCCTGGAGTAAATGCAGTTTGTACAGTTTTGCCACATACAAAAAGCTACAGGTGGTATCGTCCTTGGCAATAGAAAAGGCCCATACAGCAGCATCGATTTCCTTGATCTTGAACATGCCATGTTTGTTGACACGTCTGCCAGCCATGCCTACTACCTAATTTACATATTGATCACTGTCTGAGTAGAGGGTGTATGTGTAAAGGCTCATGGTCAGATGTCATAATCCAGATTCTGATTGCAAGTTAATACCAGGCACAGTGAGGTCAGTATTGTCCACCATACAAGAATAATGGACTGTTGTATTTGTGATAAAAAAGCTTTCAGCTGTACCCCGCTGCCTTCAGGAATCTATCTAAAGCTTGCAAACATCAGCTAACATTAGCCACAAGCGACACCAGACCCAGTAGCAACAAATCCCCCCCATTTTATTGACCAAGGGTGTGTTCTATTGGCTAGAAAGTCAACTTTTTAAGCATAAAAGAAAGATTATGGTTCAGTCTTGCTTTAAAAGTTATTATTTTTTTCACTTTTTACAACACCACCCACTCTCATTATCATAACATTTATGGCGATGTTCAATGGACATTTTTTTTTTCCCCCAGTGGTATTAAATCAACTTCCTGCAGTGTTTGTCTCTCAGAAACCTGCAGATAACCAGTCAGCGTACACTTTGTTTTTCTCAAATAAAAAATGAAATTGTAAGAAAATATAACTGAAGGACCACTTTGATTTGGAACTTGTAATGCTGCTCATTTGTAAAATTGTTCTTAAATGGCTCTTTGGCACAAGAGGGCTTTTGGATAATTCCCTGGTGCTCTGTAAAGTGTACCGTGTGCTGTGCCATAATTACGGTTGCTGAAAATCCATGCAGTTCCAATGCTGTAGTCTCTTGTCTCTCAGTTGAATTGTGAATTTACATGTATTAAGTGAGTTCTGCCATGCTGAGCCATGAAGCTGCTGAAAACCCAACCTCGTGGTTTTAAAAATACATGAGGATCAGTGAGAAAATATACATTCACTATTTCATCCCCGAAATACACACAGCTAGTGCACCTCTGTGTTTTTCCTACAGAGGTACACACAGTAAAATTTTACGACCGCCTGCTCTGTCCATGATGTATTCTCTGCTGCAGGGATGACCTGATTTCACCACAGGGATCATTAAATTTTCATCTAATCTAATCTAAATAGACTGACCAAGGGAATCTAGGTGAAAGGTAGACCTCCTTTATTGGTTTTAACTGTTAAATCCTCCTCAGTCATGACAGGAAACATAGAGGGAGGAAGGTTGGAGGGGGAGAAAGGATTTTTGCCCTTTATAAAGACTGTTCAATAAAGCGGGCCAAAGATGAACATTTAGTATGGGTTTTTTATTTTTTATTTTACAGAAATCCAAACCTGGTTAAGATTATTTTGGCTTTTGTACAATAAGGTTTTTCTACAAAGCACTAGTACAATTAATCAATATTCAAACAGCTTTTAATTTGACTAGATGTGCTGCATTTGGAGTAATGAAAGCTCAAGGATATGATGTTTTTACATCATCCCACATATCACCTTGGGTATTGCCACATCACTCTCTGTGCTTTATTAAATACTTCCTGTCTACCGGCCGTCTGGAATCCATTGAGATGCAGCATTCCGAATGCATCTGATTTCTATGTTCCTGAAATTAGTGTCCACGCTAGAAGGAAAGCCCAAGTGAGCGGCACACTTGTCACTACCAGGCAGAATGTCACGGTTCATTGTGAAACACAGATGGTGTGAGCCAAGACTGGGGCTAGATACTTAGAGGGATGTGACAAACGCAGATGGGTCCTCATGAAGACTTGACTGTCAGGTTTAACCTGCACTTCATTCATAAATTAAAAGGTCTAGCCTCACTCAGACCAGAACTAATGGTGGCGCTGCATACAGACACTCCTCCTCAGAGTGAAAATTTCCAATTTTATCACCAGCAGGAAGCAATTACAAAGTTTTTGCACACCAGAAAGTCTTGTGTGTCAGATTAAAAACCTCTAACTATGGAAGAATCCAAAAATCCTGCACACTGTCAGTCACTTGGACTCAATTTATAGTACTGATGTTTTGACGTTGGACCTTCATGATATCAGTGCTACCAGTACTGCATGTATAAATGAAGTCTCAAAATGGAGTTTAAGCTGGGCTTCCATTTTAACACCACGCCACTTGGGGACATTAATTTAGTACATGAAACTTTCAGTCATCTCGGGCTTACATAGACAGTCCCTCCAGGATTTTACAGGCTTTTTTGGGACTGTTGCGGCATAAAATGAAAAAATAAAGGCAACTGGTTCCAGTGAGAATAAAATCAGTAGTAGTTTGGTGATGTATGGCTCAATGTTTTGCGTAAAAGTTGCAAAGATTGGACAAAATTGCAAAGTTGGACAGAATTTGCAGGGATTGGTTGAATTTGCTTTAACTGTTGCTATTGCAACATCGCAACTTCCTGGAGGGACTGCTTACATTACATGTATACACCGATCAACCATAACATTATGACCACTTGGGCACCCTGGTGGTCATAATGTTATTCAGCCGCATACAATCAAACTGTGGTGCACTGTGTGTTCTGACTACTTTCTATCAGAACCAACATTAACTTTTTCAGCAGTTTGAGCTACAGTAGCTCGTCTGTTGGATCGAACCACATGGGCCAGCCTTCGCTCCCCATTTGCATTAATAAACCTTGGCCGCCCATGACCCTGTCTCTGGACCACTGCAGACTGGGAACACCCCACAAGAGCTGCAGTTTTGGAGATGCTCTGTCCCAGTCATCTAACCATCACAATTTGGCCCTTGTAAAAGTTGCTCAAATCCTCACGCTGCCCATTTTTCCTGCTCCCGCCACATCAACAAAATACTCACTTGCTGCCTAATATATCCCCCCATGACAGGAGCCATGATAACCAGATAATCAGTGTTATTCACTCTGCCAGTGCTCATAATGTTATGGCTGATTGGTGTGTACAATACATGTACCTATACATTTTGATGTGCAGGACAGGAGTATTTTTGCATTGTGACATTGCTGCATTTACTTTAGTAAGGGATCTGAAAACCTTTTCCGTCACTATCCCTTGCAGTGTTTTTTCACTGGTCTATTTGAAGTCAAATATTTACCAGTGACGGAAGGAAAATGTCTGGTAAAAATGAGGTGTTGTAATATTTCCCAACTTAATGAGTTGATGAGGATCGCCTGAATGCACCATTATGCAATTGACCAGCGCACAATGGATTATTGGATACTGAGGGGTGCAAATGATACACCAGCTGTGTCCTCCAAATTCCTACTATTAAATATTTGAAATGAATCTCTCACAGTTATCCTCGCCTCCCCTCAGTGGTGTATTATAGTATATGTGTTAGCTGCATCCTGCTCTTTGCTGCAGTGTTTACGACTGCTGCTGCTGCTGCTGATGGATCCTCCAGAGAGCCTTTCTAGACACTAAAAAATGGCGCCTCTGATGTGGATCAGTAGTTTTTGTGGAAATATTAAAGAAACGGCACTTTGATGTGAGCCGAGTCTTACCCCACTGCACCCCTTACAGCTCTTTCAAGTCACGTGAAATTAAATTAAACCTTGTTAACTGATTCAACTAATCACAACATGCAAGAGAACATTTTACCCTCTGGAAAAGCAGCATATTCTATGTATCACCTGACCAGAAAATGCATTGTACCAGCAGTATCACAACTTTCAAAGTAACAGTGGTAGCAACGTGGTACAACCATGAGCACCCTGCTTCCTTTCCTGAAGACACCCCAACTGTGAATTAATTCTCTGTGAAGACGACAGAACTTGTGGCCCCTCAAATTTATGTGCAGAGCACTTTTGAACTTTTGAACTCTCTTCAACAGTCCTTCCTCATTTCATGTCCTGCTTCGGTAGCTTGTTTGAAGTGGAAATGGACTGAATTATGGAAGCAAGACTCCATTGAAATGCTTTATGATTTGGGATCATTAGATAGGATTTCCTGCCTGGCTGGAGTAGACCTTATCGTCAGGACCATAGCAAGAACCGGTTGTTGGTCTTAAATGTTTATTTTGCATAATAAATCATATCGACATGTATAATCAGATGTGAGAAGTGTTTGGTGTTGTTTTTATGCATTGAGTTACAAATCAGAGATGACTTTACAGCCATATTAAAAAAAGCACTACCTTTTAAATAGTCTCGAGCTTCTGTGAAAGCTTCCTGCAGATCAAAGTCTGATCTATTATTAAACTGTCCTGAGACAGACAGCAAGAGAGTCGGCTAATATTTATTTATTGGACTGGAGGATACTTGACACATAAATACATTTAGAAACTGGATGTTCAGTGTTGTACTCAAGTGGTGCTTGCATTAGTTTTCTGGCACCATGCAGCTTCTAAATTCATGATTCACCATCAATGACTCATTTGTCAGCTGCTCAGGAACCAGCTGACTAGAAGTGTCCAATCACATTTGCACAGGTGTAAAGGTGGCCTTTATAACCTTGTATATGCCCACACATAGCCAATACCGCAAGTGGTGATACATTTGTTAGACAAGAATAACTCTTTGCATATACTTACCATTATATTGCAAACAAACAAGTTTGTATTTTCCATCGTTGAATACCAGAAGGTAAAAAGGTAAAAAAAATGTGAATAATCTCAATTTCAGCAATTTATTCTTTTACATGGCCTAGTAGCCTTCATCATAGCATGGAAACCCTGTATTCTGTCCCAAACTCTCTTCTTAAAGTACATCACAGGCTTTTTCATCATCCAACTAGAATTGCAGCCCTTACATGATCATATAATGAACGATATTACATTAAATGGACTTCAATCTCACCTAAATCACATCACAAAGTCTTTCTATCTTCAGGCAAAAATATGAAAAAAATATGCTGTTTGCCCATATACTCTAGAATGACACATATAGTACAAGTATTCTAGGATCTGCTCCAGACACTCAGCAAACAAATGTATTTCCTATATTTTGGAGCAAACGCCCAGAAGTAACCCATAATAAAACAACAATGCTAAAATTACATGTGCAAATAATATGCTAAAAATTAAAATTACATGTGCAAATTGAGCAGGGTTATTTGACAAGGAGTTTTTACTCTTATTGCACTTCAACCTTGGGACTCTGAATCTTCGACCTGAGGGAAGAGTTTTAAGCTCAAGGTGCGGGGGGGGTTATACGGTCCAGTATAGACCTGCTGATCAAAGATAGCCATCAGGGGGTTGTGTGGGACCTTCTCAGCCACCTTAACAAAGTGGTTGTAGAGGTTTTTAAGCCTTATGTTCAGGTTACAGTACCAAGCAAGAGTAAGATTCAATAAAAGATGTATAAAACAAGGTCATCATTTTCCTGTCCACATTAAAATTCAACTTGGCTGGCAAAAGCAAAGATGAGAGGAAAAAGTCCTAGTACTTATGAGTTTGAATTTTGCTCTTTAGTCTTGATTCATCACTTGTGCTCACACCCAACACCAGAACCTCATTTGTAGAAATTGGGCAATTCCACAGTGTCTCAGTCAGTGGAGATGTAATTACTTTTCATTTTGTTGAAGTCACACATAATTTAAACTGCCAAGATGGGAGTTCTTTAAATGTTTCCCAGTTCAGCGTTAAGGTATGGAGCAGAGGAGTCCATTCATTTCTCCCCATAAGTTCAATTCTGTTAAGTTTGAGCCTTCATTGTTACTGGGTATGCGCTTATTCAAGCAGTGACAACTGTCTTAAATCCAGACAGTCTCTGGTTCCTGTATTTCCCTGGACATCAGCAGTGTCAGAAAAGACCTTTGAAAATGTCCCAGTGTCTCTGTCTCACATTGTTCTCTCCCTAATCCTGCAGGCGCATTGCCAAAGGCGTCTCTGTGCTCACCCACGGGGCGATGGCTCTCCGGAGGGACCAGGGGGCCACCAGCCGGTCACAGTACGCTGGCAACTGCCAGAGCGACGGCAACCAGACCCACAGAGTGCCAGACAGAATCAGGTGAGAGGGAGAAAGAGGAGGGGGGCAGAGGGTGACTTTGAATTTCGATGTCATTCACACCAGCTTCTGACACACGGCAGAGTGAGCGAGCAAACAGCAGAACAGCGTGGAAAAGTAAATAGTGGCAGGCGGCTTTAATGAAGCTTCCAGATTCAGAGCAAATCCAGAGAGCTGAGTCATTCTGGCCTGAAACAGCTGGTTTGTTTGATGTTCTACAGGTAAAACAGCACATGGTGGCGAGCGATGGAATCCTGGAGTCCTGTGTTACTGCTCCTCTGCTGGCCACATATTTAAAGGATAGATTAATCATGATCCTGAGTGCAAACTGATGTTTTTCTTTCATCAGCTTTGCATATTGCACTGCTACTGTATCTTATAATGAAATACCATCACACTGAGAGCTTATTGATTCTGCAACTCAGCAACACTGTTTCAGGGTCACATTCAGCAGAACATAGACCGACATTATGGTGCATTCATGTCCTGTAGGAAAGGACTGGTGCTTGTTGCTACTATATGAATTAATAAGTGCAGTAGTCTGTTTCCTCACAATGAAAGTGAACTTCTGAAAGAACTTCTCTGCATTTTCAAGGCTGCTGCATGTCAATCACTTCTCTCTTGGTTTTTTAACACGGATGTGCTGGTTTCCATCACTGATGCAAAAGAGTAAATACACCTCAAAAAAGACGGCCCCTTTGAGGGAGGATGTGGCGCTCTGAGGTGTGTCCTTCAGAGGACTGAAGGCCGGGCTGAATCTGATCCTCAACCCCCAATTGGACTGTTTGGCCTCATCTAAAAGAAAACTGTGCTGTAGGACGCCCCTAGTCAACCTATAATTCGCCAAAACAGAACAGTAGAACCAGTGGCAAGTCCATCATATTAGAGCTAAGTAGGAATTGTGACATTGCACCCAAACGTGAAATAGACGACAATAAATCAAACTCTCCAGTTGTGTGCATGAATATATAAATATACTGCTTCTTAGCGACTTTATGTGCTGACAACTAAAAACATTTATTATTATTATGATGGGATACTGAAGGCCAGAAAGGATGTGCTTGTTGTGTCCAAAATCAGACAAAAGACAGCTTCATATTTTGTCTGGATTATTATGCATCTTAAAATGTACACTTTTAAGGAGGCAGGCACTAAATTGAGACAGAGCAGACATTTAACCACAACCTGAAACAAAATCTGCTCACTGCACTTTAGTTCACCTCCAGACATTTTTCATGTCACTGTTAGAAACCAGGTACAGTATCTCGTAAATACCCAAGTGCTACATTTACATTTTAGACAATTTGCCCTTCTTACCCAGAGGGACTTTAAATATGTGGAGAGAAAATGAGCAGAGGAGCTGGATAGCAGAAGTCCAACTTTTAACTGTTTGCTTGATTGACTGCTGCTGCTCTTTGGCACAATCCCCTCTGGGAACTGTTTGGAGAAGTCAGGTTTCTCTCTCTTTTCAGCTGTCAGGGTTACAGGAGCTGTCTGGTAACCTGCTGCTAGACTGGCCCTGGAGATTTGTGTTCAAATTTACTAATGCGGATGCACTGAATAATATGCACAAATGAATTGTCTGCAGGAGAGATACAGAATATATGCATGAAGGGCAGTTTGTCGTGTTCCCTTAACGTCCAGGAATAACATATGAGAAGACAGAAGCACAAGTGAATGAGAAACCCTAATATGGATAGATGATGTCAAAATGCCCTTGAGCAAGGCACTGAATCCCTCACTGCTTCATTTGAACTACGAAGAGAGGACTGCAGCTGTGCTGGCTCTCAAATATGAAGATGTGTGTTGCTGGAAGGAGAAAACAAACTCCCAGGACAAATAGGTGTGGAAACAATAGCAGGGCATTATCTGGGATTTTAATTTTAATTTTAAAGGGACACTGCTGAAGCTGAAATTGTTAACTTTCCATTGGTCCATGCAGCAGCAAGATTGTGATGATGAAGTATCTGGGCTCACATTTCCATTGTTTTGCCTCATTATTGTTGGAATGCATTGAAGATGTCATTGATTTACTAGTTCACATGAACTCAGTACTGACGATGTCAGGCTGCACAAGTGGCACCCAAAACAGACTCTGAAGAACATCTGCATAAAAGCACCATACATTTAAACACGGAAGTGTTCTATTTGAGCCACCAAACACAAACTTGTGAATTTTTGTATCCACTTGTATCTTCCCATTGACTTTATAAGCAATCACACTCTCCTTTAAAACTGGAATGGGTTCATGTTGAGTCTGAGCACACTTAGACAGACGTGACTCACTTTTTAAATTCTAATTGATTAATTAATTTGTCTTTAAGGATCACTGTCGCTCAGCTTGTGGGGCTTCTGGTTTAATCCATATCCTCTTCTGACCACGTGTAAGAGTAATACTTAAAGTGAGCTGACATAACCTTTCTTCAACAGCAGCCACTGTGGCAGCATGAGGCAATTAAAGAATAGTAAATGCTAGAACAAAGAGTAACAGTAGCACACATAGAGGAGCATTATAAAGTCAGTGAGCTTGTTTAGTAATGTTCATCTGATAGCATTACCTATGTATAGTTTGCTAACATTAGCCACCACAAGCTACTGGTCATACAATTCCAAGTAAGGCTTTAACTCCAAAATAAGTGAATTGAGCAAGGGTGCATTTCATTTTAAAATTTTCTTTTTTTTTTCAAAAGTTATGTAATCTTCTTTAATGTTATCCCAGAAAAATAAAGGTTTCCACCCATTTCCTCTAATTGTATAGGCAGTAAAAGACATTCTGGGAAATGTAGCAAAGTTCTTCCTGAAAGAGATGCAAATGAGGCAGTTTGAAGGAGAGCAGCCACAACATGAAGCTAAATTACAACAGTTAACACCAGAAAATAACAGATTGATGCAGATATGACAGATTGATGAGAAATCTTCCCTGCACAGACAACAAGTTCGACTGCAGATGGATGGTTACCGCAGGTTGCCTGCCTGCGCTCTTTAATGAAGTGAGGAGGTTTATTTTCAACTCGGCAAAACATTTAATGCCCTTCAGAATCTGGCTTTTGAATGCTCTCAATCAGCAGCAGGGTTGTCTGTCACGCTGACAGGCGCCGGGGCTCATGGGAGTCTCATCGAATGGCAGTGATAGTCTTCTCCATAGCAGCATGAATGACACCTGTAACACGTGAAGGGTTTTACTCTCGAGGGAGATGAACACCTTTCCAAAAATGGCTCCGCTCTGACTGAAGTGTTGCTGACATAGAAATAAAGCTCAATCTCTTGGTATTTTTAACAATTGTGTGGCCTTATTTTAGGAACACTGGGAGCGTCTGAAATTATAATAATACATGAATACTCCATTATAAATCTACCTGTAGAGTATTAAACTTATCATTTTAAAATTCATACCGGGACAAAATCCAGAAATGTTACTTCACTCTTAGTCACATATATGCTTCTATTTAGGTGGATCATAAATCAAATTTCCTCGAGTTTCCTTGTCTTGTGCTGGATACAGATCTGTGTAGGCCCTACCACAGTCCAACTGAAGCTGTTTGGTAACTGCCAAAAGCACCAGAGGAAGAATGAACAGTTCAGCACGCTAGCTGAAAAACATCTGGATGACCTGCATAGATGGAGTTAGAGCGAGACAAAAGATTTGCTCACTGTCACTCACTGGTGCTTGCACTGATCAGGGATTGACTGCAAGTGTTCAAGTAGCTGGAGCTGTAATGTGACAGTGTGAGATGCTAAATTCAGTGTCATTTCAGTGTCATTTTAGTTGCCATTATCACCAGAAAAACACCCTGTAAGTAGCTACTCATAGAGATTGTGTAGTTACACTTGAGAGGAGTAAGGATGTAGCTTGGAAAGATGGCTGCATTCACACCTTTTTAATATCAAGCTTTAGTGGCCCTTCAGGAAGTGGTTTGAGATGAATGTCATGCACCTCTAACACTTCTTGCTTCTCCACTTGGCTTTAGATCAGATATATGATCCGCCCAAAGGGCATGAAGTTGTAAAGTGTAAATATACACTATATACACTATATATATAATAAGTTGGTTTTTTTTATGACCAGTGACAACATTAATACAATTCTTGTTTTCTGTCTGTGCATGGCAACTACAAGATTGTTAAGAATAGTAATCATGATTATGGGGCAAATAAATATGGTTAAGGTACGGTTTGGTTTAAGCAACAAAACTCTTGGTGAAGGTGAGTTTTGCTACGTTAATAGTATGCCTCTGAAGGTTGGCCGTTGGATTTAAATCTGGATGTGTGGAATCGTCCAATGACGTCAGATACTAGTCTGGATCAACAGTAGAGAAGTGGACAATGCTGCAGGAATGGTTTGAGAAGTTTTCATTAATTTTTTTGGCACGTTTTGTGTTGTGACTCTGGAGTATAATTGGAATGCATTGTAACGGCTCTGAATCCAAGCTCACGGTAGCTGCTGTCCTCCAGGATGAAGAATGATACATACTTTTGAGCCTACAGGCATTTTTGATACTCTAAAGATAGACTTTGAGCTGTGTGTTCCTTCCTGTTGGGAAAGATTTTTGTTTCAAATTCTGATTTTAACCTTGTTTTGTTTCTGAGTTCACAAAAGCTTGTTATTATGGGAATAAAACTCCCCACATGATTGATGTTATTACCTGTTGTGAAGTGCCTGCTAAAATATGGCTCCCATTCAGCTCTCTTTGTTTCTGAAAAACAGAGGTTTGAATGCAAGGTAGTGTTTCAGTAGTAATCCATGACATCCTCTTTTAAACTGAAGTAAAATGGTGTTGATTAATGGAGCTGCATACTTGCCAACAGTGCTCCTCTATTTGAATGAATGGTGCTGAATGAGTGGGAAGCAGAGCGAATGCATGCTCAGCAAATCTCCCCTGAATAATTAATCATAAAAAGACAGTAAAACAAAGTTGATATTATTAATTATCTTATGGATTTATGGACTTCACGATGAGCTCTTCTCAACACAGCTTTTACACTGGTTGAGCAACCTCACACAG